CCATCCTGCTGCTGAAACACAGATGTGATGAGTGAATCTCTAGCAGCCAACCTAGACCATGAGGACAAGAGATGGTGAAACAGAACTGGAAGAAGCCCAGGACCCTGAAAACTTCACAAAGGGCCCAGGAATGCCTACCTCTGGACTTCATTTAGATGAGAAGTAAAGCTCAATCTTGCTTGTTTTTATTTATATATTTTTATTTATTTCAGAGAGGAAGAGAGAGAGACATCAATGACGAGAATCATTGATCGGCTGTCTCCTGCACGCCCCACACTGGGGATATGCCCTGACCGAGAATCAAACCATAACCTCCTGGTTCACAGGCCGACGCTCAACCACTGAGCCACGCCAGCTAGGCTCTATCTGGCGTCTTCATGGCATATTCTATCAAACCTGATCAACAGCAAGGAAGGGTGGTGGAAGAGAAAAATCTCGACCTAAGTTTGAGAGGGGTAGGATTCTGTCGACAGAATGAGACAGCAGAGGGCTCAGAAGCTCGGCCTACAGCTCAGGAGGACGGGCTGGACAAGGAAGCTGAAGCCAGCTGCGAGGGTCTGGAAAGCTGAGTACCCTGGGAGGACTGTTAGCCAGGAGCCAGGAAGTTGTGAGTGGAAGTGCTGTGATAACATCAGCACTTTAGCCAAGTGAAGGTGGCAGCCTTGCCCAGGCCAGCAGAACCAGGATAGCCTGGATGGAGGGGAGCTGTGGAGTCAAATGTTTTCTGAGTGTCTAGTAGGTGCAGGCCAGGTCGTGTGCTCCCGGCTACACAGAATCCTGGAGCAGAGTCTGAAAGATGTCAGAGGGGCACCAGTCCCTCCTGTATCCTTACAGCAGTGACTCCCACGTCTGCCTCCGCAGCCCCACACAAGCTCAGACTCCCAGGCCCACCCAGAGAGTAGGACCCAGGGACAGGGGTGGGAATTCTGTACTTTAGTAGCTGTCCCCAGGCGACTCTATGTACAGTCCATGGACATATTAAATAGGCTAGAAGCAGCTCCTTACCTGGCACCTGAAGCATACGTTTAGATGTTTATTTAAAAATAAACATTCAGCCTAGTCGGTTTGGCTCAGTGGATAGAGCATCAGCCTATGGACTGAAGGGTCCCAGATTCGATTCTAGTCAAGGGCATGTACCTTGGTTGCAGGCACATCCCCAATGGGGGGTGTGCAGGAGGCAGCTGATTGATGTTTCTCTCTCATCGATGTTTCTAATTCTCTTATCACTCTTCCTTCCTCTCTGTAAAAAAAATTAATATATTTTTAAAAAATAAAAATAAACATCTGAATAATATATTTTCATACTATGAGAAGACAACAAGCCAGTAGATTCTGACTTTCCATAATAGTCAAAACAACTAAGTAAATGTGTTAGGGTTTTTTTAGCTATTTAATTAACCACAATGCAACCTAAAGTCACTAATAACTAATAGGTCTATGATCTATTTCTGCAATCATTTCAGAAAAAAAAACAACAAAAAAACAACTTATGAGTCACTTGAATAGAGCCCGAGAAGAGACCTCCAAGCATGAGCATGAGTTTATGCTAGCTCACTGTAGCCGTTCTGCATCTTGCAGACATGGTAGAGTCCCAGAGCTCAGCCTACGGGTTTCCCAAGATGCTCTAGCACACTTCTGAGGCAACCAGGGTGAGAAATTTTATAGTTCCCTTCTTCCTAATTAATATTGGAAAGTGATTCTCAGTATAAAATGCACTCCCCTATACAAAGCATGATGCTTGGTGCTGGGGATACAATATTTAAGAGAAATCAGGGTCCATGCCCTTAAGGAGTTGAGGCAGACAAGTAATTCATTCAATAATTATGTAATTACAGCCCTAGCCGGTTTAGTTCAATGGATAGAGCACTGGCCTGTGAACTGAAAGGTCCCAGGTTCGATTCTGGTCAAGGGCACATGCCGGGGTTGTGGGCTTGATCCCCAATAGGGGGACTTGCAGGAGGCAGCCGATTCATGATTCTCTCTCATCATGGATGTTTCTATCTCTCTCCCTCTTCCTTCATCTCTGAAATCAATAAAAATATATATTTTAAAAAATTATGTAATTACAACTGTCATAAACATTACTAAGGAAGAGTACTTGGTGCTATGACAGAGCATAGTGAGACCTAAGGAAAAATTTACCAAGCAAATATAACATTTGTGCTGCAGGCAGAGGACCTGTTAACAGGAGCAATATTCTGCTAGAACAGATAAACCCTTATCTGACCATCTGGCTAGAAGACCCCGAATTCTCACTCCCATACCTCAGCAGGGTGGTGTGAATACCTTAGCTCACTTGCAGCTGCCTCCAGGCCTTGGGTGACAGCCATGGCTGTCAGAACTGGGCCCAGTAGGAGAGAAACACAAAACAGACCCCAAGCTGGACCTGCCCCTGGACCAATATTTCTGGTGCTATGTGCCGAGCTTTGTGCATAGGGATGGGAAATAAGATATTTAACAGCCAAAACCGGTTTGGCTCAGTGGACAAAGCATCGGTCTGCGGACTGAAAGGTCCCAGGTTCGATTCCCGTCAAGAGCATGTACCTTGCTTGCGGGCACATCACCAATGGGGGGGTGTGCAGGAGGCAGCTGGTCAATGTTTCTCTCTCATCGATGTTTCTAGCTCTCTATCCTTCTCCCTTCCTCTCTGTGAAAAATTAATAAAATATAAAATAAAAAAAAGATATTGTAACAGCACCAGACGGTACACAAGGGAGGAAGAGGAAGACATGTCCTCCACCCCCAAGGAGGGGATAGTATCTGCAGATGGGCAAGACGTGGAGATGGAGAAAGCATCCTGACAGTAGGACGACATAAACGAAGCGTGGAGGCTGGAAAGCGCTGGGTGTGCAACAGCTGCAGCTGGAGCTCAGGATGACGGACGGTAGAGAGCTGGCTATGATGTGGGCCTGAGTTACCACCTTTAACTCAGGGAGTGAACAGATGACAATGCTGTCTTCAAGGTGGTGTCTGGTGTCCAATCACAACTCCCGCCCAGACTGGCCCCATGACCAAGAGCCCTAGGTGTTTCCCAGTGGACAAGAGCAGCATTTCTCAAACAGTGGAGTCCTACGGATCACCTGGGACAGGTGGCCAGGCCCCACCTCCAATTGGAAGATTCCAAGGGCCCCTCCAGCCATGAGCTCCAGGCCCTGGATTCTTGGCCTCCTACAACACAAAGTCCAGGCCTGGGTGACCTTCCCTGACTACGGTGGGTGTTCCTGACAAGCAGGGGACAGACCTGTGATGCTGTGGGGAAGCAAGAATGGAGAGCTGCGGAGGGCTGGGCCCAGACTGCCTTCTGGTCTAGGAACATTCTCAAAAAAAGGTGAAAGTGAAGAGTAGCCAAGGACCCAGGGGGGAAGGAAGGACACCCCGGGCAGACAGTGCAGCTTGCGTAAAGGCATATTCAGCACTGTTACGATCTCATGTGCATGTAGGTGAAGAATGAGAAGCAAAGCCGGAAGGGATATCCAGGCCCACCACACAGAGAGCCCTACCAAGAAATGAGGGCTTGCATCTGTAGGCAACAAAAAGCCACAGCAGCCGAAACTGGTTTGGCTCAGTGGATAGAGCGTCGGTCTGCGGACTAAAGGGTCCCAGGTTCGATTCTGGTCAAGGGCATGTACCTTGGTTGTGGGCACATCCCCAGTAGGAGGCATGCAGGAGACAGCTGGTCAATGTTTCTCTCTCATCGATGTTTCTGGCTCTCTATCCTTCTCTCTTCCTCTCTGTAAAAAATCAACAAAATATATATATTTTTTAAATAAATTAAAAAAAAAAAAAAAAGCCACAGCAGACCCCTGAAGCCTGCAGGATCATGGCAACAGCTCCCCATAGTCATTTTCAGGGCACAGATAAATGGGATCTTAGTCTTGCCTCCCCACCACCACCATCAGTCTCCATCCTTTACGATCACCTATGATTCCCATCCAAAAATCAAACCTCAGATCCCCTCTGCGCAGCTACCAGGTCAAAATGAGGCAAGCAATCTGACTAAGGCAATTGACGCTAAGCCAGGGTCCCAGTCTCTGACATCCCAGGGAAAGGCTGGTCCAGCCTGCAACAAGTTGGCTGGCGAGCTCTGCTCTCCCCCGCTAGCATCTGTACCTCCTGCAGCTTGCTTTCTCTCGCTCCCTTGGAGGAACCAGCACCTCTACATGAGTTCACGATCCTCGAGGGTGGGAAAGAAGGGGCACAGAGAGGGGAAGAGCTGGTTCACACTGGCTGGGTTTAAGGAAACTGAAATACCTTAAAAACCAGAAGAAACGTTGGGACAACTTAGACAATTCACGCAGCCTCGCTAAGAAAGGTCCTGTCCAATACACTCTGCACAGGATGACTCCTGGTGTCTTCAAATGACCTGCTTCACCCTCAAAAGTCAAAGACTAAGAGGATACAAAGAGGTGCAGCCAAAACCGGTTTGGCTCAGTGGATAGAGCATCAGCATGCGGACCGAAAGGTTCCGGGTTCGATTCCGGTCAAGGACATGTATCTTGGTTGCGGGCACAGACCCAGTAGGGGTTGTGCAAGAGGCAGCTGATCGATGATTCTCACTCATCGATGTTTCTAACTCTCCATCCCTCTCTCTTTCTCTCTGTAAAAAATCAATAAAATATATTTTTTTAAAATAAAAAAGAGGTGCAGACTCTGAAGGGACTGCCGAATCTCACAATGCTAGCAAAGACAGGGTGTGCTGATTCTCCCGAGGGGCCCGCAGTGCATGGGGAGGAGATGGAGTTCTGGTCAGGGTTAAGTTAGCACCAGCTGAGTGCACGGGGCGCACGGACAATACTTTCCGTTCGCAGTGAAAGCACACTTCGGAGGGGGACGCAGGGTGGTGGTGGTGAGGAGTTAGGCTTCCATAGGCGCTGGCAGTGGGCAGCGCAATGAAGGCACTCCCCTCCCCACCCCTGGAACCCGGCCTGGCGCGCACACGGGCCGCCCTGGGGATGCGGTGGGCCAACCGGCCGGGAGCCCCCAGCGGCGGCCCCGCTCACCTTGCACTTGAAGCCGGCGGCGGGCGGCAGCAGCTCCCGCAGCAGGGCCTTGGCCACCTCGCGGCTGGCCTCCTCGCTCACGAAGTGCAGGTTCAGCACCTCGTGAGCCTCGAACTTGGCCAGGCGCAGCAGGGAGCGCAGCGCGACGCGGGCCTTGGCCTGCAGCGCGGCGTTGTGCTCCGCCTTGGTGAACATCATCAGCAGGTGGTAGTCCACCGGCCCGGCCCCGCCGCCGCCGTCCAGGCTCTTGGCCTTGGCCCCCAGGGCGGGCGCCGCGGACCCCCGCGCCTGCTCCGGCACCGGCCCCGGCGGGGAGGGCGCCGCCGCGGGGGCCCCGGCGCGGGCCTCCTTCAGCCTCTTGGTGGCGCTCGAGAAGGTCTCGCGGCCCGAGCCCAGGTAGTAGAAGGCGCAGACGGCGAACGCCGCGGCCAGCAGCAGCGCGCAGTGATGGGAGCGCACGGCGCCCAGGCGCGCCATGGCCCGCGCGCACGGGGCCCCGCCTCGGAGGAGGCCCATGCGGCCGGGACCGGGCGCCCAGCAGCCGGAGAGGAGCCGCCGAAACCCGTAGTCCGGCGGCCACTAGCGGCACCGCCGGCGGGCGGCGGCCATGGCGGGGGCGGGGCTACGCTGCACTGAGCCAATCCGGGGGCGCTGATGCGCGGGGAGGTGTGGCCAGAGCTGCCGGGCAGCCGCTGGGTCCTAGGTTCCAAAGGATTCAAGCTGGGATGAACCGCGGCAGTAGGATCTGAGCTGGGACTCCCGCGGAGGTGGAGACAGCCAAAGGCCTGCATGAGCTGTGAAAACTTGACTTCTTAAATGCCTAGCCACAGGCGTTAGGATCGAAGCTGAGCCTTAAAAAGTCCCAATGCGGGACCTTCGGTTAGCAAAAAGAGAAAAAGCATTCTCTCTATACCCTTTCTCCCTAATTTCTTAATCCACTCACATTTTGGAGACCAATGGGAGCTGAGGAATTTAAATTAGCAATTTCCTTCCCTATTTCACGGTGAAGTGAGGTTTGACACTTGAGGTGGATAGAAAAAGCCTTTCACCCAACCTGTCATCGCTGAGGCGACCAGAGGTACCTTAAGAATGTGACCAGCAGGGGGACCTCGCTACCCAAAACTTTGGAATAATTCAGAGAGCCCCAAAGGAGGAATACCAGAGATTGTAATACCAATTTTTTTTTAATCTTTATTGTTGGAAGTATTACGTATGTCCCTTTTTTCCGCCCATTGATCCCCTCCAGCTCGCCTCGGCCCCCGCCCCAGGCTTTTACCACCCTATTGTCTGTGTCGGCGGGTTATGCATATATGCATGCAAGGTTTTTACTTGAACACTTAAAAAAGCCTTAATATGTGCCAGGTAGTTTTGCAAATTCTAAACTAAGGCACATTGAGGTAAATTCTCCAATGGCACACACACATTGGCAGCTTTGCCCCTAGACAGGTGGAAACTGTCAACTATAGAAAAACTCATTAACTTCCGTCTCTTACGGACTGGTGAGACACCATGGTGTGTAAGTACCTGTGTGCTTGAAGAGGTGGAGGTGAAAATACATGGAAAAACTCTCACCAGTCTGTTGTGATATGCCATTACTCCTCAAAGTGTGGTTCCCAGACCACAATTCATCTCATGTTCTTTTCAACCAGAGCAACTTTTCTGGAAAACATGGGACCTCTGAAACAGGCTTGGCAGCAAGTTCAATGCATACAACTCACCTTATTTAAAAAGATGGGGATTAAAACCAACAGCAGAATTAGCTCAGTTGAGTAAACAGATTCTTTGATTCATTGGTATTTTTCTGGAGGATGGTACAGCAATCCTAAAATCTCTATGGCCTCTAAAAGAACTTTCAGTTCTCTTTTCTATCCAAATGAATGTTTCTCCCCGACAGTGGTTCTCAGATTTGGGTTGGCATTAGAAGTACCTGGAGGGCTTAGTGAAAACATATTGTCTCAGGTCCTACTTACCTCCAGTGAGCCTGAGCCTCATTGTGATTGTTTCACAGACTAAAGTTTGAAAAGCACTACCCTAGACCTTCACCCAGCCAACCTCTTTCAGACCTTGGCTTAGATGTCACTGCCTCAACAAGTGGTCTCTAAACATTAACCAGTCCGTGTCTGGCTGAGGCACCATCCTCCACAATTCCCTGAGGATCATCTATAAATTAGCCAGTACCATCTTTCTCTGTTGCAAGAAGGCAGACTCAAAGAGAACAGGAAGTGTCTACCTTTTTACCATAATATCTCTAGTACCTAACATAGTGCCCCAACTCACTGAATAAGCCACAAAAATATACCCACCCATTGTGAACCAGCAGTGTAGGAAATCATTCTAAGGAAATAGTCAAGAATGTACTCAAACATCTAGCCAAAAGGATAAAGCAGAGCTAGGTTTATGATGCCAAAAAAGTTGGAATCAAATGTTCATAATAAAGGGGCTAAACTAAAATGCTTTCAATAAAAATGGTGTATTCAACAAATGCAAGTAGAAACTTAAAAAAAATAATAGAACCTATAAAGATTTGAGACATACTGCAATGAATAAAACATGAATTCTGATTTAAAGAACCTATGTAACACACACACACACACACACACACACACAATTTGGGATAATCGTGTGTGTCTCAAAATCGAAAATTTGAATACAAACTATAGTTTTTTAAAGAAGTATGGTATTACCCTGGCTGGTGTTCTCAATGGTTAGAGCACCAGCCCACAAACAAAAGGGCTACAGGTACCATCCCACCCCGGTCAAGTGCAGGAGTCAACCAACTCATGTGACTCTCTCCATCTCTCTCCCTGCTCCCTACCGTCCACTCTCTCTCTAAAATAATAAATGTGGTATTATGCTTAGCCTTTTATTTATTTTTAAGAGTTCTTCTTTTAGAGATACATACTGAATAATTTCCTGGTTCAATGTCTGGGATTTGCTTTTCTAAAATCTGGGTAAGAGAAAAAAAAAAAATGGAAGTACAAATAAAACAATGTCAGCCACAAGGTAATAGCTATTGAAGTTCTTATTTTTAAATGTTTGAAGTTTTTCATAATAAAGTATTTTTAAAATCCTCCCCAAAGTGATGTAGAATACTTAAGGACTTAACCATTTGTTTCCCATTTATTAACTGAAAGAAGCAGGTAACAAAACAGTATGATCCCACTATATATATTATAGATACACATACCCAAAGGTCCATAAGGACAGATGCCAAGGAGTAAGTTTTCCCCTCAGTACTCTCCAACAGAACTTCCTACGATGCTGGGTATGTTATATTACCTGCCATGTTCAAAACATCCAAAAGCCCGGCCTGTGTGGGTCAGTGGTTGAGCCTGGAACCAGGAGGTCACTGTCAGGGCATATGCCTGGGTCTCTGGCTAGATCCCCAGTAGAGGGTGTGCAGGAGGCAGCTGAACGATGATTCTCTCATAATTGATGCTTCTCTCTCTCTCCCTCTCCCTTCCTTTCTGAAATAAAAAACAACAAACAGCAGCCACAAGGCAGTGCAACAGATAAACTCTTAATTTTGTGTAATTTTAATTAATTTAAATTTTAATGGCCACAGTGGACGCCACACTGGACAGCATGGGCAGATGATGGAATTATGGATGATTATCTTCTTTTTTTACTTACTGCAATGTAAACATTTTTCTACCACGAAAAAGCATTATTTTGCAATAATGAAAAAGCAGGCTTTGTTTTCATTTAAAACATTTACTGACTAGTGGTGTAGATTCTCTTCTTCATAGAACTATTTTTAAAATGAAATGAAGTGGGATAACGCAAGTCACATAGAAAAGTTTGTTTGCTTTCAATCAGTTTTTAAAGGCAAAAGTAGGCAATTCACCTACAGATCTGTTCTTTCAATCCCTCCATTCCTTCCGTCTCAATCTATATAAAAACATGTTTTTGTTTACTAAAAGGACTGAGTGTGAATGTGTTGTTTAGATTAGAAACTTCAACATATATGTCAATCATAATGGAAAGAAAAAAAAAAGCTAGTGCCCTAAAAAAGCCTTTGTGATTTTTATTGAATGAATTGGGAGCCATATTGTGATCAGGCAGAAAAGAATTTTTAAAAGATCAAAATGGATTTCTTTATTGGAGCAATCTGATGGATCCAACAGGGTTGGAAAGGAATATAGGACCTTAAACATGACAGTTTGTTAACAGGTAAGTCTGAAGTTGTGTTTTACAATAAAGTGAAAATGTGAGCATGAAAGAACTACGCCAGAGGTGGAATTTTTATTGACTTATAATTTTTTCAGTATACAAAGTATTTAATCAAGTGTAATATTTACAATTCTTACATAATGTACATTTTAGAATAACTATAAAGACGATGTCCTTTGTTTCATTTACAATGGTAACTACAGTAAAACTACATTCATGAATTAGATACAAATCCTCTACATACTAATAAAAAGTAAATGATGTGTTTGTTATACATTCTTTAAAATAGAGCCTTACACAGATAGCAAGAAATATTATATGTAATAAGTCTTTATGTCTGGAATGATCCAAAATACCACAAAGCACAAGTAAACACATACAGAAAAGTAGCTCATCCTTTCCAAAAGTTAACCTTTAGCCTTTGTGTAAAATAAATGATGTCAGCACTCTTTATAATGTAGCAAGCTTTCCCTGTTTAAAATTAACACCAATAAGGTGGGGAAGGGTGTTGAGGAAAAATAAAAAAAAATCTAGAACATAAAATAGTGAAAAGATCCATATAGAAAAAAGCTTATTTAATCAAACCTTGCTTCTCTCTCCCATTATCTCATTTTAAGTAAATAAATGTATGTAAACAAAAAAGGATGTCCACAAAATTATATTTGCAGATGTCAGGATTCAACCAAATTGAATCCAAGCCCCTTTTAGTTATCTTTCATCAGGAAATTTATAAGTACAGGCATACCTCAGAAACACTGTGGGTTCATTTCCAGACCACCACAATAAAGCAAGTATTGTCATAAAGTAAGTCATAATCTTTTTGCTGGTGGAGAGTCCTGCCTTCAATTTGTAAAGACACAATATCTGTGAAGTACAATAAAGCAAAGCACATTAAAATGAGGTATGCCTGTATATAGTAAATTAAAATTACCTTTGCAATATTTCGCTTTCATTAATGTTATTGCAAAAATGTAAATTTTCTTATAATTTAATGCTGTCAGATCCTAATTTATCCCTTCAAAGTAATTATATAGCCAGTTTCTTCAGAATATTTGGAGCTTTTATCAAAACGCAAGGAAAGCCGAAACCGGTTTGGCTCAGTGGATAGAGCGTCAGCCTGCGGACTAAAAGGTCCTAGGTTCGATTCCGGTCAAGGGCATGTACCTTGGTTGCGGGCACATCCCCAGTAAGGGGTGTGCAAGAGGCAGCTGATGGATGTTTCTCTCTCATCGATGTTTCTAACTCTCTACCCTCTCTCTTCCTCTCTGTAAAAAAATCAATAAAATAAAATAAAAATATTTAAAAAAAACACACAAGGAAAGCTGGCAATCATTATCAGATGTTGCTGCTTTACAATGATTTCAAATCAATTCATGATACAAATAAAGTGCCTCCAAGTATTACAGACAGAAAGCCAAGTATTACAGACAGAAAGGGGGCTCTGGTGTCATCTATGCCACCAACCAGCAAACCAGTGATCCCTCCCCCTCGCTCTTTGTAAAACAAGAGTGAACCAGATCAAAGAGATAGTTAGCTCTCGCAGAGTAAATACCATAGACGTCCTACTGTGAAATCGGGTGAGATAAAGGAATGTCAAAGTGCACTGTGAACAGCACAACAGTATACAGAGGGATACTGTTATTGTTTCACTCTGCTTCATCGCATTGGTTTATTTGTGAGGAGCTCTGAATCCAATGAGAATAATAACTACTAGTCAGTGCTCTTTCCACTGTGCAGGTCTGAAGTCATTCTGGACAAACAATTTTATAAAAAGATCATTTTTCCAGCTCATGTCCATGGTCAAAGGTGCTAACAAACAGAAAAGTTAATTTGACAATCTAAGAGTGATATGGAAATGTCTCATTATTCAAAATGGGTAGTAAATTTAGTCTTAAATGCAATTTGGTTGATTGTAACCAAACTTTACATTTATAAATTTATATATCTAAAAATACTGCTTAACACATCACAAACTTGAGTTGTCCAGATTGTAAAGGTATATGTTTTTGTGGGATTTTTCTTCTTCAAAATGCACTCATGAAGAACCAAAGTACATATTCCAAATTAAATCTATACATTTTGAGAAACAAACATCAAAATTCATTAAAGTTTATAGTGAAGACCAGTAGAAATTAGGCAAACACTGTAATGTAATGAATCCCTGGAAATTCCTGGATTTCTAAGGACTATACCAAAGGTAATTTTTTAAACCTTATAAAATTGCATGTAACTACTCAATTACCTTTAGTCTAGATCTAATATGAAATTGCACCTGATGAACTCCTCCCAGTGCAAACAATATTTTTATTTTAATATTAATCTAACTTCTAAGTTAATGAGCTAATGATATGCACTAACAAAATAATGAGAAAGAATCAGAAACTAGTATCAGCAGATCAGTTAAGGAAAGAAAACCAAGGCAAGTCACAATGACCTATGAAGCCCAAGAGTAGGATTAACTTTGCTTCCACTACAGTTTCTCATAATGCAATAAATAATTCACGGCGCTATAATACTCAGATCTGTTACATACTATGGAAAAGATGTTACTTGTCAGCTTAATTTACCCTGGTAAGAGCCACCCTTTGTAACTACTTATAACTATTATACTTTACAGCCTTGCTGTTTACTGTATCATTTCTGCCAAATTTAATCCAAATTATATCTCAGCATATTTAAGAAATCAAGCCACAGGAATGTATTTTTGTAGTACCAGATTCAAGTAGGCACTAATTACTGCCACATTAACAACTCATGACTCAGGCCACAGGAGGTAAGAGTGTCATGAAGAAGTGCCTTCACAACTAGAGAGTCCACAGGTTTTCTGAGCACCAATGGCTGGATCCAAAGGAAATCTGCCTAGGCTTCCTCAGATACAGGGTAGGAGCTTTAGGGGTGAAATCCTAGGATTAAAACAGGAATAAGCACTGCAAAGGAAAAGTGAATCTCTCTTTTCTCTTTCTGTTGTTTTCAACATATTTCCTTATTCTTGAGTTTTTCAAAAAATCAATCTCAAAGTACACTCTAATAAAAATTATATAAATCAAACTTTTGCCAAGCCAGATAGATGATCTGTGACTGAGGTAAAACAGGATGTTCCTGTTATTGGTTTAATTACAAGGCTTTTGGAAGTTAAGATTTCCTTAGAAATAATTCATAAATATAGTTTTTATTCTTATCCGATATACTAAATAAGCATTATATGCATGCAATTTGACCAAACATGGAACCGTTCCTGTGATGTGAATTTATTTCAGTATAATTCCTGTTAAGACAGATTCCGTTTTGACAGTCAATTAATTTATAACACTCTAGTTATTGGGAGGAAGGGAGGTTAGAAAATATATTTCTACCCAATTAAATAGTATTTACCTACTTCTTGATAACCCAAATTTTAAAATATCTCTTATTTAGAAACTGAGTATCAACAATAACACATATAACTTATTAAAAAAAAAAAAAAAGATTAAATTTAACTGTTGACAATATTAGAAAGAAACCATGCTCTGGCTAGTATGGCTCAGTTGGTTGAGCATTATCCTGTGTGCACCAGAAGGTTGCCAGTTTGATTCCCAGTTGGGGCACATGTCCAAGTTTTGGGCTCAGGAGACAGCCAATCAATGTTTCTTTCTTTTCTCTCTCTCTCTCTCTCTCTCTCTCTCTCTCTCTCTCTCTCTCTCTCTCTCTCTCTCTCTCTCTCTCCTTCCCTTCCTCTCAAAAAAAAAAAATCAATAAAAACATTTTTTTAAAAAGAAGGCAAATTACTAAATTATCTTATAATCCTGACAAGATATATCAATCAAAGATGGAACTAGACTAATTTGTAGCATATACATGATAAATTAGTATATCTATATTTTGGAATTCAAGGGTCTGTGATTCATAAAACCAAATACTAAAGCTATATAGATGTTATAATTTAAATGAACATACACTGTATACAACAAGTACACAGAATAGATGTTGGAAAAATTAAAAAGCAATTTAATGCTATATTTTAGTTAAAGCTAAGAAAAACATGAAATTTTTTTCTCCTTTTACAGAGATTTTTCTTTCACAAGGACCAACAGCAAAAATGTATCTTAAAAAGGACAAATTTCAAATATAAAAATGCTCTACATTACTCTATAAGTCAGTTTTTCCTTTGAAAGTTACAATATGATGAAAGCATAATTTTGCAACATTTAAGTAACCTTTGAAACAGTTTTATTACATCAATAAGTTTGTCCAGGTTTTAGGAAATCAACCCAACAATGAAGAACTAAAATTTCTATAACTGAGAATCTTTTGGTGATTAAAAAAAAAAATGTTAAGGGCTTCTTTTTTCCTGCATAAAATGGAATAAAACTGAAGGACTGACTTATATCTACCTGTATAACCATTGTATGTATATTAAAATACTGGACAATAACCAGGTATCTATAACTGCATTTATGAGGAATGGGGAAACATACTCTCTAGCTAATTAAATTACAAATGTGTGTATAACAGCTAGGCTATCAAAGCAAATCAAAACCATTTCTGAAGCACTAACGTCATCTGGGAAACTGAAGAAAAGACATACTCTTGAGGCAGGCAGGACCAGTCCTAGCTCCCACTCGATGCAAACATGCTTAACTGAATGACACTGGGTGTGACGCACAGAAGAAAAAAATCAATGCTACCATCCACTAGCAAAAAGAAGAGATTTTTGTCTAAACTCTTAGGACATAGTAACCTAAAGATGGCCTTAGTCTAGGTTCAATTTTTATCTATAAAATAGCCCTTAGACAGGCTCTTTTCCTTTCTGTGGGTCCTAAAGTAGGCTCCTCTCCCAAGTACTAAAGCCTTATGTTTTACCAAAGAATGGGTACCATTTTTCCAAACTACTCAATGTCTACTAAAATTAAGTAGAATTAAAGTAGTAAAACTGTGTGAGTTTTCAAATCTATACATTAAGGAAGTCACCAGATTTACTATTCTCCCCTTCTTAAAAAAAAAAAAAATCAGAATTTCTGTGAATCTTGCTGGAAACGATTTAGTTTTTCTGGATTATTGGATGCCATCTGAGAAAAGTCACGGAAAATGTCTTGGTAAGTTTCATCACCTGCATGAAAGTAAAATAAGGGCACTTTAAAATGTATACAATAAAAGTATTAATAAACAATATTCATTCTTATACGTAACTACTTAATAATTCATTACATTAAAATTTTGTTTAGCTGAGCATTTTTGAAAGAAAAAAAAAAGATGAACTAAATATTAATGCTGGAAAAGTATATAGTGAAAGAAGAAAGGAAACTATACCTGAAAAAAGCACCTCAAATGCAGCCACAGAGGAAAGTTCAGAATTAGAAAAGAGCAAAGATGCCAGTATTTTAGAGCAATGTGCAGAAATACACTTATTCATACATGGGAAATAAAAGTCAGTTTAAATGAGGTGTAGTGAACAAGGCATTCTTTAAATAAATATTTCCCTTGATCAAGACCAAAAGATAAAAAAAACAACAACAAAACCACTAACTGTTTCTGATGGATGCAAGTTATTAACCAGACAAAGCTGATAATCAGGGTGAGGGTGGAAGCCTACTTTAATATTATCTTTTAAAAGGCATTTTAATTTAAATAGCATGTGAAAAAGAAATTCTTTACTCTAACTTTAATGCTTAACTAAAACTAACACATTAATCCCCTGCTTACTAAGCTTATAAAATGATAAAGCCTAGAAAATGACTACAAAATCATAATTTCACATGTAGTCAGAAGTGTTTTATTTACTGTAGGTTATATGAGCAAGAATGCTATGACAAAAATAGGAATACAAAAACATGTTAAATTAGAATAACAGATAAATGTATATACATACAAATATGCTTATAGAGAAAAAGATTACACATACTGACATTACAGCTGATTGAATACTATATTTCTTGCCATGAGAAATTAAACATATGCACACATACAGATTACTCGTCAAATAAAGGATTTGTATAAAATAAAATCTTATTTTCAAGATGAGTAATCCATCAGGAATACTTTCTATTAAACATCAGCTTTATACAGAAGCTTGGCATAGTTCTGTTTTCAAGATTTAGACTGTCAAACACTATTTTACATGACTATTGTTGCAACATGGTTTTATAATTATTTCCCAGAATATACCTTGCATCCATCTTATTACAAACTCAATTGCTACAGTTGTTATTAATAAATAGTGCAGTAAGTTTTGTCAGGTTTTGAAAAGAGATTTTTTTTGAGGCAATAGATGTCATACCAAAAGCTAGAGAATTAGAAAAAGTTTGGGAAGAAGACGAAGATCTAGTAAAAAGGTCTAATAGCATAACCCAAAAATTGTCCATAAAAAGTTTTTAATACTTTCAATATTTTTTCACTTTTAATATTTAATCTCTGTAAAAAGCAAGTAATTAAAATCTCTATATAGTTTTCATTTAACCCTGGAAATTTCTCATTTCCTGAATCAATCACTCCACTTTAAAAAGAAAAAAGTAAGGAGAGAATCTTAATAAGGTAGGCTAAGAGCAACATTCTTAACTCATTAAAACAATAAAAATAAAGATTGCTATGTTGGAACAATTGGTAAGACAATCCAATTAGACCCATGATTTCTTAAAAGTTACTCCCACATTAAAAGACAAACTACAATCTGTTCCCATTTTTAGCCATTCTAAAAAGATATAAAATAACACAAGAAAAGACCAACATTAAATATCAATTAAGAAACCATACAAAATATTTAAAATTTTTTCTTATTCTTAAATGTTGAATTAAAATATTTAAAATATTTATTGTAAACATTATAAATATTTTTAAAATACTATTTAAACTGGAGAGTCTGGAATTTTACTTTCCAAGAAAGTGTAAAGTGCAGATTATAATATAAAAATACCATACTGATTTTACCATTCAACACCAGAAGTAACTTAAAGGCACACATTCTACATTCAAGAAGAAATAGGAAGGATTAGCAGAGACACCAATGCCAAAGGTTCACAGATAGCACCAGATGAGCATTCTTAGTATTAATAACAGTACAATGGCGATATATGGCTTCTACTATTAGCAATGCATATTTTGTATAGCAAGCTGTGGAACTTTTTCTTTTTGTGGTTTTCCAGTTTTCATTTTAAAATTATCTAGTATCTATTACACAAGTACGTTTTAGTAGAACCATTGTACCATGCAAAACAAATTATAAACTCTTTTATTCACTGAATTAAATGCTTCTCTGAGGGAAAAGTTGTTGGTGCTACACACTAATGATTTGTTTCACTTACTGAATACATTTTAAAAGAGTTACTACAATACGGAAGTCTCACCTTCACATACACACAAAACTTTTTATTAACATTCAGTTTCTAATAAAACACTAAATAATGGACTATCAATATACTTTTCTTAGGTTTCAAAATATATGGTCAGAAAACATCGTTACAATAACGATAATGACTAAGTTATTTAATATAGTTAGCACAAATCGACTTCAATGTGATCCTTTAAAATTTAAATATAACTTTAATCATTTAGAATTTCTCCCAAGGCAACTATAACTTGTCTACACTAGAATATATAAATAATAAGCCAGAATATAATGCCCTGGAAAGTTTACAGAAGTACATTTAACAGTTTATTATTAATGGTAAACAACTAATCACCCAATAATTTTAATGCTAAGCTATATCCTTTAAATTACTTAATCATATTAGTATTTCTCTTCAGAAAGTTAACTCTTCTATATGCCTGGACAGTTCTGAGTTTTTAAAATGTGGACTGCTGTTTCCACTGGTAGTTTAAAATATGTAGTGTTTGATTTTTGGTATTCAGAGTAGCCATTGCAACAGCAGTTAATGACCCAAAATTTTGTTGATTTTGCTCTTGAGCAAAGAGATGGCAGCGTATGAAACCCCATCCCCAACGAATCTTGCCCCTTCGGGGTTAATGACAGCCTTCTTTTATAACTGATGAGCTCAGACATAAGCCTTTGTCAGTAACATATAACCAGTCGTGGTTAACTAAAGCAGTGATTTTCAATGGACTATGAAACTGCCAACAATCCAGAGGAATCCTAGGATCAGAAAGTGGACAGTGGAACCAGCACACTGGTTTCCCACAATTCAGAGCGGGGCATGATGTCTCACCCACCCACCCCCACCCAATGGTCCTGAGAGTTGCAGTAACTGATAAGGGTCAGATAAATCTTCCCTTTGGGAAACATGTGCTCTTAAACCTTGCAAAAAATTTGGAGTCTGAGGTCAGGGTTGTGGATAGAAAATTCAGAATTAGAGTCTCCTAGAAATAGGTCCATGATTCCCAAAGATAATATCTGAGTCTTTTAAATGGTAGGGCTCTTCATTATCAAAAGACTGAAACTAACTGCATTTTAAAATTATCCAGAATTGTGAGATTTTCTTTCTGATGGTAGGCAGAAAAAAAAATTAATCTAGATAAAATAACCAATCAAAATCTATGAGAAAAATAGGCGAAGGGGAAAAAAAGACCTGTTGCCTAAGCAAATATATCTGCTCTCCAAAGACTCACAGGGAAAAGAAACCAGAGAGCAATTGCTGCGCCATTTCACCATGTCACCTGTATAAGTATAAAATTGTTTTGCTTTAAATATCACTCTAAATAAACCTAATTAGAAAAATCTAATTAGCAAGATGATCCTCAAATAGATCAAAATTTCATTTTATTCTGTATTTCCAGAATTCTGATCTATTTTTATTCTCTAAACTGAAATTTGAGATTAAAAGTTTGTTTTTTAAAGAGATTTTTTCAGATTTTCATTCAAATAAATTGCAAAAATCTATTTTTCTTTGGATGAATGAAAAGTATATACTCATAAACTTATACATAAAACGACAGTGAAAGAAACATATGAATGCTCCTAAATGGTGACCAAAGCCCAAGCAATTCAGGTGAAACTAGAATTTGCAAGAGCATAGAGGCCCTGTCCTTTTAAGCTTCCCAACTCCAGAGAAAAATCAATCACTGACCTTCTGACTAATCAGTTGGATGTAACTTCATCAGCAAACACCTTAAGGACAGAGCAGCTGACCAAAAGTTTAAGTTTAAAATTTCAGGAGAAAACAAGTTTAACTTAAAATCTTGAAGATCACTCTTATCTCACAAATATCGGTCATAGCCTTTGAATAATATTTTTTATTTTAAAGTGCTTAAACACAAAGGCCTCAAAAATGGCCTAGTAATACCATCACTTAAGTATATGTTACAAAACAATAACATTTAAAATCTAACATTCAAGTTTAAAACAAATGGGTGAAATTCAGAATTAACACTGAGACTTCACCCTTAATCAGCTTTCTTACATCTTGGTATATCATGAATCAGTAGTACTGTATGATCCATGGGATTAAAGTAGGACACCCTAGATTAGAAGTATCTAGATGTTCTCTATTCTTAAAGTTCTTACTTGTTCCCTGTTAAATTAGACAAAAAATAAGTACTAAATACAGTCTTCTGAGAAAAGAATGGCCCCATATTTCTATTAATTATATATTAATCTGATTAAAAGTAAATGGCTGAAGCTAGCACAAAGTACAGAAATTTCAAAACATATTTAAACAAGAATAGATATCAAGCTGCTTTTTAAATAATATATTAATATTCATTAAAAAATTAAATATACCAAACAATTTCAATTATTTTAGTCATTAATTCCAAAACTTTCTTACTAATATATATATGAATTTAAAACAGATATATTAATAATTCATATATGCAAATTCATAAAATTGAAGATCTAATTATTTGATATGTTCATCAAAGAGAGAAATCTGTTCACAACATTTCTTCCTTTTCTTAACATCTTGATTCAAGGGTGAAAATGACTCAAAATGAGACTTGAGTTGATACTGAATTAGATTTCTCTAATATGAATAAGTCTACTTTGCCATCAGGTTCTCAAAATATTGTTCAAAAAACTTCCATTTATCTAACAGATATTTTACGATATAAGATAAAATGAGACCTTTCCTCTAAACCTTTTAAACTACCTCCACTCCCATTGTGTACTTCTTAACCTTCTGGTAAATTTTATTTTAAACCCTCAACTCATGTTTATGTCAAAGTATAAAACTCCTAAATTCATTTTCTAGGTATTTTCTATTCCGACTTTTTATTTGCCAAGCATAGGTGATTTGTTTTTTTCCCTGAACAAAATTTATAGAAATTCCCTGAATTAACAAAAAGAAAGCCATTTTGTTATTTTCAGATGACAGAGAATTTCAAAAAGAAAATTACTATTGTGCTGCTGTAAGTGTATAAAGATATGTTATCATTCCATTTACTTCACTGGAATGTATATGGAAGACATCTGTACAGAAGAGAAAGAAGTCAGAGTTCAATACAGCAAGTAAGTGTGTACTCTAATAGGAATAGTTATGGATATTTAAAGGCCAAGGAGTTAACCACCCCCAAGAATTCAATAGGTACAGTACGGATTTAACAGCTCACAATTTACAAGTTATAAAAACTCTAATAATTAAGTTAGTTTACTAAAGAACTATCAGTCCTCCAATTGTAAACTTATAAATTCTTGAATGCATTTCTTATACTGCATTTCGGTATGGTTATTAGTAGAATATTGACCTGGCTGTCCATAAAGTCCTTCTGACTCCCGCATCTCTTCATTCATTCTTGCTAAACGTAACCTAAAATTAAATAAAAGCATTTTTAGATGAAATTATACAATGATAAGTATTCATAAAGTAATGAATTGTATAAGCAGATAAAATGTGTACTAATGTAATTTCTTTATCAATATTAGCAACTAAAATAAATGGGCTTTTATTCCATCAGATCCAGCCAGCAATCCAAATACAAAAACAGTATTCCACTTTTTACAATTCTCATGAAAGAAGACAATGAAGGTGCATTTCAGCTCTGTTAAAGCAGGATTCTTGCAGCACCTTCAGCAACTTGTTTCCTCTAGACTCCAGAGAATTCCTGGCTTCTACAGCAACCTATCAAACTTTAACCACCAATTGCCGGAATTAATGCTATAGTATGGAAGCCTGTCATAAATTCACTGTGATTCACTCTGAGATCAGTAGTTCCAGTCATACAAACAGTGTCTGTTATTTCTAAATACTGAAAATATATTTTAATATACAAACATTATAATAATGACCACAGGTGACCAAGATTTTCCCAGGATTAACATATTGGCTATGCATTCTTTGGGGGGATTATTCATCCTGACAGCAAGAGACATGTAGCATTGGATTAAGAAGACAAGAATTTCTTCCCATTTTCTTACTAACGTGAAACAACAATTTAAAACATGCAAATGTTGCCTTTGGTGCCCCTCTCCTACTTTATATTACTCTTCTGTTCTTCAAGCCACCAAATATTCAAACATTCCCTTCTAATGTGCTCTCTCTGGCAACTGCAGCATCTAACATGGGCTTTTCCTATCTTCAGAGTACCATGAATCCCTTGCATTTCCATTTTCCACCACTGTGTCAATTAGTAATAGCAACATAATTTTACCTTCAGTATTTGAACTTTTCAAAGAGGACATCTATGTCAAAAAATTTTAAGTGAAACTAAAGTCCTTATAAAAAGTAATATGAGAAAATTTAGATAACTTTGAAACAGCTATCTATGGGAAGAGGGGACATTACTATATGAATTGCCTGGGAACCCAGCAAAACTAAGATTTGTTTCTTTATAGCATTTCTGTCTTTTCTTTAATAACTTAACTTTCTCTAATTGTAAATCTACAATGATTTAAATTTCCCTACAATAGCATCCACAGTAACAATAACTCCTCCAGTGCGGAAAGGAAGTTGAATGCAGAGAAAATATGCCTTTTTTTTTTTTTTTTTAAGTTAGGCAGTGACATATTACAAGCCAAGAATTCTCAGTGAGAGCTCAGGAATTCAAAGCAGTCATGAGATTTTCTCCTTGTAAGTGACTGAGATTTAGTAGTGTGAATGGAACTCTCTCTACTTATGTATCAGAGGATCAACCATTTTGGGCTTCATTCAGAAGTGACTTCATACAACATATGCTTGAGATTTCCTACATAATAATGACATGTAAGTGAAAATGCATTTCTTGATTTCAAGTGTAACAATTATCTTTTATCTAATATGAAAATCAAATTAAGACCTCAAAAATCATCCCTTAACAGATCATATTAAATTATATTCAAACATTCAAAAACAAGTACTTTTATCTTTAGAGTATTCTTTTAAAAATAAATACAAACAAATCCTTAAGTATCTCTGCCCAAAAGCAATGCAACTGCAAAAGTTACTAATGTAGATGTCCCCCTGCTTATAACCCTGATTCTCAAGGTAGCAGAATAATTGCCTGTCACTGTACCAATATAATCCTCATCCCAATATGTACTAAGAGTTAAAGAATCCAATTTAGAGAAATCACTGGTTTTCTGTTTCTATTGGTCATGAATGATAACAGAGGTGGCTAAGAACATGGGTTTTAAGGCCAGAATTCTTGGTTTCAAATTCCAGCATTACCACTTACTAGTTTTTCAAATTATCTGTGGCTTGACTTCCTTATAAAATGAAGTTAATAATAAAATCTTCCTCACAGGGTTGTGAAAACCAAGATCATGTATGTCAAGTGCTTAATACAGTTATTGTACTTGGAGGAATATATGGGATATAGTAAATAACTGGACAGGTTTAAAGCTCATACCTACAAAGGAAAGCCCACCCAAGTACTATAGTGCATGGGAAATAATGAAGTAAAAAAAAAAAACAAAAAAACACCACTTACAAGGTTACTATATCAGCATTGGCTGCTTCCACAGCTATACTTAATGGGTCTTTCCCTTCTTCATCAGTGGCATGTTGATTGGCACCTCGTTTTAGGAATAGACATACCTGCCTTTTTAAGCAAATAGCATTTTTGAGATAAAGTCAATAAGAAAGAAATTAGTATTTACCTTAAAAAAATAAAAAGCACTACCTAACTCAAAGAAATAATATTTTGATTAGCAAATTCTTATTCATTCTACAAATTACCTCTAACTTTTTTTTTTTGAACACTGACTCTAAGAATAAAAATTTACCATAATCAGTATTTTATAAGTCTATTTAACCTGGTACTATATAGTACAGTAGGATAGTAAATTATGGTCCCTACTCTCAAAGAATATCATAAAAAGATATACACAGATACATATAAAGTTAAAACAAAACTCAATCAAGGTCATTATTTGGGAAAGAAGGAAACCAAGGTAATGTTAACATCTATAATAATAAAAACATAATATGCTAATCAGACCAGCCATCCTTCTGGATAAGCTGGGGCTGCGAGGGAACCCTGGGTCCTGAGTGCCAGAGGAAAACAGGGGCCAGCAGCCAGGGGAGGACAGCCTACTCTTGCATGAATTTCGTGCACCAGGCCTCTAGTCATAATATAACACAATAGCAGAGTGGGAAGTAGTCTTCCCACTATACTTCACAAATATTATAACTTGAAGAAATATGTAAAAATTAAAAAATATGAAATGAATAAATAGAGTCCATGAAGTAAAATGGGAAGAAATATGATTGTTTAAGCATACAACGAATGAGTCAAATAATATAGTGTCTAAGTATAGAAAAGTTTTTATGATGAAGTTATTGAACTGAATCTCTTTACTGACAGAGGAAAAACAAATTATAGAAGATACTATAAATAAATAAACAAACAAAAAAGAACAGTTTGCTTGTCAAGGTTATAAGAATTGGATAGGCCCGGCCAGTGTGGCTAAAAATGGTTGAGTGTCAACTCATGGTTCGATTCCCAGTCGAGGTACATACCCATCACCAGTGGTGTGTGTGTGTGTGTGTGTGTGCAGAAGGCAGTGGATGGATGATTCTATCTCATCATTGATATTTCTATCTCTATCCCTCTCTCCCTTCCTCTTAAAAATCAATAAATACATTTTTAAAAAATAATTGGATCTCTTTGAAATGATTAAAGAACAATCTCCCATTCACAAACTTTACAAATAAGGCTAACAATCTGACTTCATTTGTGCACTCTAATAGAAAATGTGTTTTCATGGCATTACTGTTTTGTGATTCTAAATATTGCTCCAAAAGTCTCAATATTTCGTATCACAGACTAAAAATTTACCTTAAAATTTTACTTTGGAGATCCTGTAGAAAAACTAAAATGCCCAAAGTTACAAAGTTCCCCCAAAATGTGTTTGTTATGTACAGAATGCATGTCTATGTGCTTAAATACACACACAAACTTAAAGCTGTCTGACAAAAATCACCATCATTTTACTATTTTAAATACTGAAATTAATTGATTTAAAAGACAAATGAATTTTAAAGTAAGTTTTGGGATTTTCTTATCTGAGAAGTAACAGATTTTTAAAAATGAGATTTTTAAAATTTCAAATTCCATCATGACAATTTAAGTCACAGGAAAGTATAATATTACAAACCCTACCTAATGGCCTTCATCTGAGAAAAAGATTGTGATCTAGCAAAACACACTACTTTCATTACCAGAATTCTCTTCCATTAAGAAAAAAAAAATTTGACAGCTCTAGCCGGGTAGCTCAGTTCGTTAGAGCATTGTCCCGATAATCCAAGATTGTGGGTTCAATCCCTAGTGAGGGCACATACAACAATCAACCAATGAATGTATAAATAAGTGGAGCAATAAATAAATCTCAATATCTCTTTCACTGTCTTTCATACTCTCTCAAATATCAATTTTAAAAAATTTTAAAGAAAAAAAATGGAGTTTACATAAAATGATACTCAGAAATCACTACCAGCTCCTTTTATTTTCCAACCCATCTCTTAAAGCAAAACATTATTTCAAAGTAATTTTTCAAGTAAAACCTACTTAAATATGTAAGCACTATAGCTTACCCAGTGTGCCCCAGGACAGTGGCATGGTGCAGTGGTCCCCGCCCTTGTACATCTCTTTGGTTTACATTAGCACCGTTCTGTAGGAGAAACTCGCACGTCACCAAAGAACCCTGAGCGGAGAGAAGAAAACATTGTATAAAAAGCAAAATATTTCCACTAAAAACAGTATTTACTTAATTCTAAGAGTTTTTCTATTTCATTCTCCTCTAAAGAGAAAATACCCCCCAGAAAAAATGACAAATTATATTACTTCCCAAGAACTACTTCTAATAGATTCAATTTGCAATCTAGCAAAATACATTTGCATTACTAGAATTCTCTTCCATTAAGGAAAAAAAAATCAAATTCACACAAAGTGATGCCCAGAATCACTACTAGCTTCTTCGATTTTCCAACCCATCTCTTAAAACAAAAGATAATTCTAAGACCAGGTTTCAAATGAATTGTGATTTTCCATGTCTCAAGGTACAAATCCATACCCCTAATACAGCCTGAATAAGTGGTGTTGCTTTGTTTTCCTCTGAATTAGCCCAGTTCACATCTGCACCATGAGCCAAAGCCTCAGCCATTTTAGGAAGATTTTTTTCATATGAAGCCCTATAAAGCTGGAGTCCTGGATTAAGATGCTTAGATTCAAGAAACACAGAAGAATCTTGCCTTTCTCCCTCTGAAAAGCAAACACAAACACGTCATTAAAAACTAGCTCTTGAGGTGGGAAAGAATGGGAAGTTATTATTTCATAGGCACAGCATTTTAGTTTTATAAGGTAAGTTCTGTGGGTGGATAGTAGCGACAGTGATTCACACCAATGTGAATTAAGACTTAACGCTCATCAATGATTCTCATCATTGATATTTCTATCTCCATCTCCTTTCCCCTCTGAAATCAATAAAAAACATATTTTAAAAAAGACTTAATGCCACTGAACCGTACACTTTAATATGGTTAAGATGATAAATTTTACATTATGTGTAATTTGCCACAATTTTTTTAAGTTGACTCTTAATTGTATCACAATGTGAAAGTTGTGGCATAAGAAATGACTAATTTAACAAAATGAACTGATTTCACAAAGACATTTCATTTCCAATAGGCTATCATTCCTCAGTCAACTTCTCTTATCAATTAGTATGTCAGTCTTTTGTGTTCTTGCCAGCATCCAATAGGTAGGTTAGTTACTCTGTATTAGAATAAAATTATGTATCCTAGTATATAAAAAGCCAGGGGCCGTCACAACCGAAACAACCAATGGACAACCGAACAGCAGGCAGCATGGGGCAACAAGGCCGGCAGGGGGGTTAGCGAAGAACCACCAAACGACTGAACAGCATGCTGCGTGGGGGTTAGTGAGGGAGGACTAAATGACTGAACAGCAGGCTGAACGGTACAACCAGGCTGGCAGGGGGGGGCTGTTGGGGACAACCAGGCTGGTGGGGGAGGGGGCAGTTGGAGGTGACCAGGCCATCGGGGGGGGCAGTTAGGGGCGACCAGGCCAGCAGAAGGGGACAGTTGGTGGGGAGGCAGTGAGGGGCAACCAGGCTGGTGGCGGAGGGGGGGGGGGAGGAGGCAGTTGGAGGCAACCAGGCCGGCAGACAGGTGAACAGTTAGGAGCCAGCAGTCCCAGATTGTGAGAGGGGTGTCCTAGATTGAAAAGAGTACAGGCTGAACTGAGGGAACTCCCCCTCATGCACGAATTTCATGCATCTGGCCTCCAATATTCCTATAAGCCTGGACTTAAACACTCAAAAGAGGCAGTAAGAATCCCTAAAGAATTTTACTACCAAATGACACCTCACTTTATTCCTAAAATAATCCAATACCATCACAATTTGCGGTATAAGCATTTCAAATAATGTGAAGAACATTTACTACTCTGAGTATTCTGCAATACCCAAATCATTAAATATGAAGGAGAGAATATAGCAGTAAAACACAAAAAAAAACCTAAAGAGAGCAAGTTGCTGGTCTCTTCCTCCTGATAAGAAAAAAACAGCCACAAAGGAAGATAAGAGTAATAAGACATACAGTCCATATGAATTAAAAGTTATCCTTAGTTGCCGGGACCGGTTTGGCTCAATGGATAGAGTGTCGGCCTGCGGACTGAAAGGTCCCGGGTTCGATTCCTGTCAAGGGCATGTACCTTGGTTGCGGGCACATCCCCAGTGGGGGGTGTGCAAGAGGCAGCTAGTCGATGTTTCTCTCTCATCGACGTTTCTAACTCTCTGTCCCTCTCAATTCCTCTCTGTGTAAAATCAATAAAATATATTTTTTTTTAAAAAAAGTTATCTTTAGCTAGCCCTAGCTCAGTTGGTTGGAGTATTGTCCCAATATGCCAAGATTGTGAGTTCAATCCTGGTCGGGCACATATAAGAATCAACCAATGAATGCATGAATAAGTAAAACAACAACAATCATCTCTCGCCCTGACCAGGGTGGCTCAGGGGATGGAGCTCAGCCTGCAGATTAAAGGGTCCCAGGTTTGATTCAGATCAAGGGTATGTGCCTTAGTTGCAGGCAGATTCGCAGTGGAGGGGGGGGGGGGGTGTGTGTGGGACGCAGCTGATTGATGTTTCTCTCTCAACGATGTTGCTAGCTCTCTATCCCTCTCTCTTCCTCTCTGTAAAAATCAAATTTAAAAAAATCTCTCTCTCATTAATTAATAAAAAAATTTTAAGAAAAGGCACTTAGATAAGGCACTTATAACATATATCATGAGGTTCAGAAGAATGTATAGCTAGGAGGTAACTTTCAAATATAAAAAGAAATAGCCACTTTTCATTTAATTGTATTACTCCTTCTTCCAAAAAACTAACCACTTCCTTTAGAAGCTATTTAATCAAGACTAGGCATTTAACACATGTATTTTTCAGCAAATAATATCAATTAACACTGAATTTCAGCAAAACTCACCAGTCTCATATAAACTATTGGCTGACACTGTAGAGGGTAAAGATTCTCTTCCATCATCAGAGCTCTGCTGGATTCCACTATCATTACTTTTGACTGTTTAAAAAAAAAAATCAGCTAGTGGTTAAAAAAAAATGGCATTAAGAAAACAACCTCCCACAAACAAAGAAGTTTTAAAATGAACTCTGATATATCAATGGGAACTCAGCCGTCACCAGAATACATTTAATACAGTTTTAATCCTTTTGAGCACTTAGCTTATCAAAATATGAATCAAGCACAATAACTGAAGATAAGCTCATTTTCAGAGTTGTAACACATCTCATTAATCCATAATATGTAAGGGGTAGTAAAAAGAATTTGTTGTATGACTATAAGTAATGTGTAATTCTGAGACAATGGGTAACATCTAGAGAAATGGCCACACTGCACAATGACCACTGGCACAGACTTGGAATGCTCCACAAGAGTAGTACTTACTACTACGTAGTTTTGAAGAAGTATCAAAGTAGGAGAAGAGTGAATCTAGCTCATCAGGACAGAACAGAGACTCCCGCCTGGCCTCGTCGCTATTTACAGCAACCACTGGGGACATGCAAGTTAGCAAAGCACAAAGCAGGCCGTAAGAAGGGAAAAGGGCAGGAAAAAAACGTTATTGGGAAAATTTTAGGAGGGAAAAAATAGGAAGGATGTTAGGTGGTTAATCAGATATTTAGGGCTTTCTGGCATGATAGATTTATAAATTCCCATCTCCCCTTGTACTTTAAGCAGTTTTATTCCTTAGAATATACACACTACCTAGAAATTGAATTAGCAAGACCTATTTAAATTTAATAGTTTTAAAGACATAGAAATCCAATTTTTCCTTAGAATATGTAGAAGAAAACAAGTTTTTAGCACTTAAAAATCTACAATGGCTGTTAATTCTGAGATTAAAAAAGTGTCATCAGATTATGAAAATACTTATATATGCAAGTAAGTTGTAATACCTGAACTTTGGGAAGATGCTCTGACTTGGTCAGTTGGCCCAAGTTTAGGAATGCTTAGCCTCTTTTCTTCGCAACTTTTGGAGATCATTTTTTTTTCCTGCTCAGGAGGTGATGATAATATAGAATATCTATCCACAAATTTCCTCTCCACATATTTTGCTTTGATATATGCCTCTTTCTCCTGTCTGGTAAACATAAAAATGTCATGATGTTCTGCTTGGTCTCTGAGCATGACTAACACTGAAAAGAAGCTATTATACATTGACTAATTCAAAGAAAGTCAGTAAATGTAACACTAGTTAAAGGAGGATTTGTGACATTATGCCATTTTTCTTCCAAATATTGAATGAGCTATGATTTCATGTTCAAATCAAATACAAATAACTAACTTAAAAATTACAAATATTAGCATGGCATTCTTTTTCTCTTATTTTTGTACTCATTCATTTCTATACATAGTCCTTTGTACTTTAATTTTGTTTTTACTCCAATAACGTCACATACTCAACTATCACTATTGATAGTAATAATTTTTCATAAGACAACTACTTTAAAATGCAGCAATTCTAGGGGGGGGGGGAAAGATGTCACATTTTAAACTTTTGATTTCTCATTAATAAAGGCATAATATGCTAATCAGACCAGCAAGAAGCCTGGATCCAAGTGCCTGTGGGCGGCCGAAGGAAAGCCAGTGATGGCAGCCGGGGGAAGACATACTCTTGCACGGAAATCCTACATTGGGCCTCTAGTAGGATTATAAATGCCAAGTGTGTTCTATACCTTTTCCTGTATATTTTTCAAATGCTTAGATCTTTGGCTAAAATAGAATATTTCAAGGTCTAACGTAACTCAAAAAGCCATGCTTTAGTAAATAAATAATCTGATTTAAGTGATATTGATTTAGAGAATAATAACATTAAAATAGTATTAATTATACGTAAGAATTTAGTCAAATGTAAAACCCCAATGTAGGGTTATGACAAATGAAATTTTAAAGCTAAAAATAACCATAAACTAAAAACAACATAAAAAAAAAAATAAGGCTCTAGCCAGTTTGGCTCAGTGGATAGAGCATTGGCCTGTGGACAGAAGGGTCCAGAGTTCAATTCTGATCAAGAGCACATGGATGGGTTACAGACTCAATCCCTCATAGGGGGTATGCAGGAGGCAGCCAATCAATGATTCTCTCTCATCATTGATATTCCTATCTCTATCTCTCCCTTCCTCTCTGAAATCAATCCTATCTAATAAAGAGGGGATATACAAATTGACCATCACGCCATAACAAGATGGCTGCACCCACAGCAGAGACAGGGATTCCATAACACAAGATGGCTGTGCCCACAGTGGAGACTGAGTTCCCATACAAGCCTTAACAAGCAATCAGCAGGGACCTGAGGCTGCGCCCCCCACCTGGTGGGGCTTAACAAGGGACCTCAGGCCGCGTCCCCTGCCCGGTGGAGCTTGACAGGGAACCTCAGGCCATGCCCCCTACCTGGCAGGGCTTGATAGGGGACCTTAGGTCGCATCCCCCACCCCAGTGCCAGGCTGGGGGACCTCAGGCAGCACCCCCAGCCCTGGCGCCAGGCTGGGGAATCTGAGGCTGTGCCCCAACACCATGTGAGGCTTGACAGAGGACCTCAAGGTGATTAATAAAAATTTATTTAAGTCTCACATGTAAATTATTCATTGTACATAATAGAAACGTAAACCTTAGATACATTAACAGATTCTCTTTTTAAATGGAACTTTGGTCTACTTTAACTACCAAGAGTTTTTACATTCCTATGTAGAACTTTAATTTTTAAGATCCTTATCTGGGGAATATAATTGAATGTCTGATCAATAAAAAAATAATTAGCTACGGGTTAACGGAAGCAGTAATGATCTCTTCTAAAAGTCTGTTTCAGTATTAGATATCAATTATGATGAAATAAAATCATAGCTGTATTTCTGATGAGGGGAAAAAAAGACAACATATTAAGACAACTGAAACAGTACCTTTGTCCTGGTTGTGGTTTCTTTATTCCCATTTTTTCTACTTTAGCCTCATAAACTCGATTTATAACATCATTCCCCAACTCACACATAAGCTGTTTGGCAGAAAAACAGAAAAATAAGCTAGAAATTCCTAAAAATATTATAAAAGTCATTAAAGCAAGTATAGCTAGTAAATTCCTTTTGCATATTCTGCAACTGCTCATCCCACAAAGAAGTTTACTATTAAAGCAAAATGAAACAAGAGCTGAGAGCAATATCACCATTTGCCATTCTTCAGCAAAATACCTCACCCTAGAGCAGGTGTCGGCAACCTACGGCTCCAGAGCCGCATGCGGCTCTTTTGAAGCTTTACTGCGGCTCCGACAACTTGCAAGCCTGTGTGAAAATGAAGGTAACATCTTACAGCCCTGATGTGCTGACACTGTGCACTGAGGTTCAGGAGCAAAAATCCCATTAACCAGGTAAATTAAATATTTTAATTAGCTAATAATTTGCAAAAATATATTTTACATTGTTAAGTGAAAAAGTCCTTTTTTTCTTCAGATTGACAGCTAACTGCACGATCCCGTATATAGTACTAAGGTAAGAAACAATATATGCAGTGTTATATTTGTTGGTTTTTTTCCCCATCGGAAATGGATCCAAGTGGCTCTTTTTGTCTTAAAGGCTGCAGACCCCTGCCCTAGAGAATTACCACTCCTACAAGAAAGAGTTTCTCCTCTCCCATCATCTATTTAGTTTTCTATTGCACCATGGCTAGCACAATCCTGTATATTATTCACAATGTCTGGTCAATTAAATGGAAAAAGAAGTCTAAGGCCAGACAGGAAAAGTTTTAAGTAATTGAGAAATGAAGTAAACTATTTCCTTCTTATACTTCATATATAAATATTTCAAAATATTTTGTTTAGACGATTGTCATGATTTTTAGTGCATCACATTGATTTAGAGAGCAATAACATTAAAATAATATTGATTATACATACTATTGTACTTCAAACAAATTTTCTAAACTGAATCCATTGAGATTAACACAGAAAGTTGATGCAAAAATTAGATTCCTATTCCTCTTCCCTCTGAATTAATAACAATTAATAGAATCTATGTAAACAGAGCTCTACCTTAGAAGCCAATCTATCACTTTCATTTAGAGGTTTATTTCGGGTCTAGTAATAATTAATGTCGTTTTAAACATTCGTTTAAAATCTTGCTTGGCGTTGACTTGTATTGACATAACCTTCAAACACGTGGTATCTACAGAATGTGTGAAGTGCAATTAACAAGTTTTGCTTGAAAAAGTTTGTGTTTGGTTTGGTTTTTGTTGCAAAACTAGGGCTAAGAAGATGGCGGATGAAGAGCATATTCGGCACTGCATGCTTTACGAGCTCCAATTAGGAAGAAAAGCAAGTGAGGCTGCAAAAAACATCTGTAGTGCTCTTGGTCAAGATGCAGTTAGCGCCAGAAAATGCCAGCATTGGTTTGAGAAATTTCGCGAAGGAAATTTTTCGTTAGATGACAAGAGTGGTCGAGGCCGTGTGTCCAATTTTGATCAAGAAGCTCTTCAAGCTCTTTTGGTGCAAAATCCTCAAATTACCAAACAAGAGCTTGCGACAACTTTAAATTGTTCACAAAAAACAATTTCCAATCAATTGCGTGCACTTGGCAAAGTCCAAAAGTTTGGAAAATGGGTTCCTCATGAGTTGACCGACAACAACCGTAATCAAAGAGTCACAATTTGCAGTTCGCTCCTCTCTCGTCAAAACCGTTTGCCCTTTTTAGAGCAAATTGTTACCGGAGATGAAAAATGGGTGCTGGATGTTAATTTGAAAAGGCGGCCTCAATGGTTGGACAAAAATGAGGCTCCGCAGCCCACGCCAAAACCTGACTTGCATGCGAAAAAAGTGATGTTGTGTGTTTGGTGGAATTTTAAAGGAATTCTTCATTATGAACTTTTACCATCTAACCAAACCATTACAAGTGCAGTGTATAGTGCCCAATTGGAAAGGTTAGCCCAAGCTTGAAGAGAAAAAGAACCCGCGCTGATTAATCGGAAGGGCGTAATTCTTCACCATGATAACGCACGACCGCATACTGCAAGAATCACTGCTGAAAAACTGCGCCAGTTGGAATGGGAAGTTCTCCCTCAACCTGCATATTCTCCTGATATTGCCCCTTCCGATTACCATTTGTTTCCTTCTTTGCAAAACTTTCTTCTTGGAAAAAAATTTAATAATGAAGAATGCCTCAAAAATGCATTGACCGAATTTTTTGCATCAAAATCACAAGAATTTTACAACAGAGGGATTAAAATGCTTCCTGAGCGTTGGGCACAAGTAGTAGAAAACAACAGCAACTATACTGTTGATTAAATTTTGTTGTATTGTTTAAATAAATTTGATTTTAAAAAGTATTAGAAAACGACATTAAGTATTACTAGACCTAATATTAATTCCACAAATATTTTACTGTACATAGTTGAGAGGATTACCAGTTTATTTATAGATTGAAATAAAAGCACAAGCACATTAAGAACACAATTTCCAGACAAAATAAATGAAAAGTATACTACAACCTTTAAACTAAATGGGTGAAATTTAAAGAAGTATATTAACTTATGAGTTTTGTAAATCATATCAGAAACCCAGATGTGATCTAAAGTTATTTATGACATTTTTATAGATAATAATCCTCACACATGGAAAAAGGATGTCTTAGTCTGATGGCTACAACCCTGAAAAATGTAAATTTGCAAATGGTTCTATGCTAAACCCAATGGAAACAACATAATATGCCAATCCATAATGGAGCTTACTATAGCAATATGTCTCATATTTTTATCAAGAATTTATATAATTAGCCGAAACCGGTTTGGCTCAGTGGATAGAGCGTCGGCCTGCGGACTGAGGTTCCCGGATTCGATTCCGGTCAGGGGCATATACCTTGGTTGTGGTCACATCCCCAGTTGGGAGTGTGCAAGAGGCAGCTGATCGATGATTCTCTCTCATAGATGTTTCTAACTCTCTATCCCTCTCTCTTCCTCTCTGTGAAAAATCAATAAAATATATTTTTTTAAAAAGAATTTATATAATTATAAAATATTAAAATTAAGGCATAAAGCCCAAGATATTTTTTGAAAAAGTATAAAAATGTAGGAACACTGGTTTCCTTAAAAAGTGAACTAAATACATAAACTTAGCAATTTTTAAATCCCAATATGAAAATACCAGATTTGTCAAAATAGCCACAGAAATGTTCCAAAACAACACAGTTCACTGTGAGCATTGAGAAATTCATACATTTGTAAACCAAGATTCTAAATTCCTTTTATGTGGAAATATAAAACATTTCAAAGCAAATATTTATTTTACCTTTAAAAGTTCAGGCTCCCACGTGTCTAAAGTTAAAGAACGTACTTTTGAAAAATGAACTCCAAGACTCCTAAATGAGAAAAGACTTTGTTAATATACAAAACTATCAACCTTGATTTGCTTATTATGCAAATTACTTTTCCTTACAATGTGGCAGTCTCTAATAAAGCTCTCAACATACATATAAATAGGAATGCATCTTCTCCTTTATTTAATACAATGAATGGTAAACCAAAGCCCTCACAAGCTCTTCACAAGCCAGAATTGTATCTACTTTACAAATGTAAAAAGATATAAACTAGCAGTCAAACTAGGCAAGTGGAAAAGGCCCTCTGACTAAAAGGACATGACAATTTACATGTATGTTTATCCAAAAGAAGTCTCTCACCCTGGGCAGGCCTACTCACCGGTGAATTCCAGAACACTCAATACACAGGGTGATGCCCAGGTTGATGCTGGCCCACCGTGGGTCTGCCAGGCCACAGTCACAGCAGCTGGCATTGCCAGGGATACACTGGACTCGCTGCAGTGCACTTTCTCCTTTCAATGATTTATCTTTTGACTCATTTCCAGAGTCCAGGCTTCCAGTAGATGGAGATGACTTCTTATCTAGCTTCTAAAAGAATTAAAAATTATTTGTTTTTGTCTTTGTTTTAAAAAAGATTGTAAATACCATGTTACATATGATAGGCTCCAAACAAACGTTTCTGATCAATAAATTGAAGCCTATTATGGACCTAATCCGGGCACTGGTAGAGGCATTAGAGATTTAAAAATGGAATGACAGCACTGGCCGGTGTGGCTCAGTTGGTTGGAGCAACGTCTTATACAATTAGAAGGTGGCGGGTTCAATTCCTTGTGAGAGCATATACCAGTTTGTGGGCTCAATCCCTAGTCAGAGTGTGTGCTGGAGGCAACCGATCAATGTTTCTCTCTCTCTCTCTTTCTCTCTCTCTTTCTCCCTTCCTCCCTCTCTAAAATAAATTTTTTAAAGGAAAGATATAGTTTCCTCTATCAACTGGATTTTAATCTTGTGGAGAGAAATATATATACACTTTGAATAATTATAAAGGTAGTGTTTATTAAAATACATTTCATTTTCAAAATTGAGCTATCAGCTGTTAAAGTGTATACATTTTTGAGGGACATCCTGTAATATAAACATATGTGTGTGTGTGTACGTGATTATGTATATATGCGTATGTGTATACATGTATATATAATATTTACATAGATGTATATATAATGCTTATGTAAATATATAAACTGGTACAATGAAAATATATAATACATCTTTACATATAATATTTATTCAAATATACACATGTATATACTGATACAATGAACATACGTACAAAATATGAGGTCAAAGAGAAAGGAGAACACTAATTAAATGTGCAAAATCAGAAAACAGAGGGACTAAACATGAAATTATTAAGACTCAAGAAAAAAATAAATATTATTTTACATAAGGTTTTTCCAAGGTATTCATTAAACTGCAAGTTGTTTAAACTACTTCAGTGTATTACTAAAGAACAGATCAGTTACATAATTATAATCACAGAGTGAATCAACAATAGAATACACAATATCTAAAAATGTCCTGGGCCATTAAGAAACAAAAGGTGGCAGATGAGCAAAAGGCTAATTTCTTAAGTTTACAGCGAAGTCTATACCAATAATAGAAACATGTAGTTTGAGGTCCTAAGCAATTAAACATATGGCCTAAAAAGTATTTGAGTTTAAAAGCAATTCAATAAGCTAGTATTTTAGTAAAGAAGTAAAGAATCATTAGAAATATAATTTGGCCCTTGTTTTGCCCTTGTGAAAACTCAATTCATTAGCCATTAGCTGGGGCCAAGCAAAAAAATAGTTGTAGTAATTGTCTATAGAGGACTGAGCTGGGTGGGAAGCATATCTTTAAATGAAAACACCACCATGCTGGATCCCAAACAGGATAAGGAGGGTATCTGCATAAGGAGGGAGGCCAGCATGGGAAGAACGAGCCTGAGGAAGGAGGGAAGTGTGGAGGAGTGCCACACTGTGATGTGTCATAGCCAGAGTGGGGTCAGGGGGAGGTGGCAGCAGAGAAAGGACATTGCTTACATATAGGGAAAACTGATCATGTAAATAAACATGTTGAAATTAACGGGAACTAAATTTCTCACTGCTGAAAAAGAAGTTATTCATAAGAAAGGAGAGAATTAGAACAAATCCCATTGTATTAGATTGGAACTGGAGATACCAACAGGCACAATATTGGTTTTCAATATAAATAGATATATAAAGAAATATAGATTTATTTATCTTGGTTTCTAAAAACCAAGGAACTAGGGCTCTTTAAGGAAACTGATTTCAGAGATGGTGCAGAGAAAGGACAAGATGAACCTGAAGCAACTCATCATGCTGGAAGTATGGAAGAACTCAAAAGATTGATGGTACCATGTCAAAAGGATACAGAAGCCAGGGCTCTACTGGCCAAACTTGAGTCAATTTGTCCAACAAAACAAATAATGATGGTAATGGATGTTAACACATCAAATAACATCATAGCCTATGGTGACATAATAAAAAAAATTCAGCCCAGCTGGCTTGGCTCAGTGGTAGAGCTTCGACCTATGAACTGAGTGAGAGGTCATGGTTCGATTCCCAGTCAGGGGCACATGTCTGGGTTGTGGGCTCAATCCCCAGTGTGGGGCATGCAGGCAGCAGCCAATCAATGATTCTCTCTCATCATTGATGCTTCTTTCTCTCTCTTCTTCTCCCTTTCTCTCTGAAATCAATAAAAATATATTTTTTAAAAATTCAAAACTTGATAAGGAACAGAATAGTTACATAATCTCAAAGTAACTACCCCACAAAATACTTAGTACCTACTAAGAAAACTTTGCAGTAAAGAAGTCTAACAGATACCATCTTAATCAAATTACCCCAGTTAATATCACTAATAATGGGACAAATCCATATCAAATGCCACCTGAGAGGATGCAGTGAGAAGAGCACAGCATCAATTATATAATACTAGAGGCCAGGTGCACCAGTTGGATCCCTAGGCCTACCGGTGATCAGGGCCAATCAGTGGGGCAACCCCTCTGCTCACACCCACCTTCGCCAGCCTGGCTCTGCAGCCTGGCACTGCCCATTCACAGGTCCCACCTGCTGCCACCTCTGCCAGTCGCCTTCCTCTGCAGAGCGACCAAAAGGGCAAAGGGGGGGAGGGGAAGGCCTCCCGCTGGCACCCACTTTGGCCAGCCTGGCACCACCCGCTCACCGGCCCTGCTCCCTGCCTTGGGGCAACTGGCAGGACAATTCGGGGGAGAAGAGGGGATAGGATACCTGTTTGCAACCACCTTTAGTTGGCCTGGGTCCTGCAGGCCGGGGACAGCTCCCGCATTGAGCATCTGCCCCTTGGTGGTCAGTGCACATCATAGCAACCAGTCATTCTGCTGTTCAGTCAATTTGCATATTAGGCTTTTATTATATAGGACTAGAGGCCCGATGCACGAAATTCGTGCAAGGAGCTGGCCCTCATAGCTACAGGGACCTGCCTCGGCCCTCACGGCAGCCTGTCTCAGCCCTCACAGCTGGCTTCCTCCAGAAGGTCATCCAAAAGGACGTCTGGAAGGACATTCAGCTGTCCGGGCTAATTAGCATATTACACTTTTATTATTATAGATTCCTACCAAAGATGCATAGCCTTGTGAGTAAACATCAGACAAACCCATACTAAGGGACATTGTACAAAATTAACTAGTATATAGTTTTCAAAACTATCAAGGTCAAGAAGGTCAAAGTAAGACTAAGCAACTATTCCTAACAGAAACCAAAGAATCATGATAATAAATTTAACTAAGGAAGTAAAGGACCTATATGCGGAAAACTACATGACACTGAAAAAAGAGATAGAGGAAGATGTAAACAGATGGAAGAACATACCATGTTCATGGATTGGTAGAATCAACATCATCAAAATGTCCATACTTCCTAAAGCAATCTATAGGTTCAATGCACTCCCCATTAAAATACCAACGGCATACTTCACTGACATAGAAAGAACTCTCCAAAAGTTCATTTGGAACAATAAAAGACCCCGAATAGCCACAGCAATCCTGAGAAAGAAGAGTAAAGTAGGAGGGATCTCAATACCAGACTTCAAACTGTATTACAAAGCCACTGTTCTCAAAACAGCCTGGTACTGGCACAAAAACAGACATATAGATCAATGGAATCGAATCGAGAACCCAGATATCAACCCAAATCACTATGCTCAATTAATATTTGACAAAGGAGGCACAAATATACAATGGAGTCAAGACAGTCTCTTCAATAAATGGTGTTGGGAAAATTGGACAGATACATGCAAGAGAATGAAACTGGATCACCAACTTACACCATACACAAAAGTAAACTCAAAATGGATACAGGACTTAAACATCAGACGGGAAACCATAAAAATACTAGAAGCATCCACGGGCAGCAAAATCTCAGACATATGCCAAAAGAACTTCTTCACTGATACTGCCCCTAGGGCAATGGAAGCTAAAGAGAAAATAAACAAATGGGACTACATCAAAATAAAAAGCTTTCTTACAGCAAAAGAAACCATCAACAAAACAACAAGAAAGCCCACGATGTGGGAGAACATATTTGCAAATGTTACCACTGATAAAGGTTTAATCTCCAACATCTACAAACAGCTTATACAACTAAATAAAAGGAAGATGAATGATCCAATTAAAAAATGGGCAATGGACCTAAATAGAATATTTCCAAAAGAAGACAGAAGGAAGGCCAAAAGGCACATGAAAACATGCTCAAAGTCACTAATTATCCGAGAGATGCAAATCAAAACAACAATGCGGTACCATCTCACACCTGTCAGAATGGCCAACATCAACAGATCAACAAACGACATGTGTTGGCGAGGCTGTGGAGAAAAGGGAACTCTTGTGCACTGCTGGTGGGAATGCAGACTGGTGCAACCACTGTGGAGAACAGTGTGGAGTTTCCTCAAAAAACTGAAAATGGAACTCCCATTTGACCCAGTAATCCCACTCCTAGGAATATATCCCAAGAAACTAGAAACACCAATCAGAAAGGATATATGCACCCCTATGTTCATAGCAGCACAATCTACAATAGCTAGAATTTGGAAACAGCCTAGGTGCCCATCAGCAGATGATTGGATCCAAAAACTTTGGTACATCTACACCATGGAATACTATGCTGCCATAAAAAAGAAGGAATTCTCATCATTTGCAGCAACTTGGATGGAAATGGAGAACATCATGCTGAGTGAAATAAGCCAGTCATTGAAAGAAAAACACCACATGACCTCACTCATTTGTGGATAATAAAGAACATTATAAACTGATGAACCAAAAGATAGATATAGATACAGTATATCAACGAGCAGACTGTCAAATTACAGCGGGGAGGGGAGGAAGATCTGGGGGAGATAATAGATCAACCGAAGGACTTTTATACATGCACATAAGTACAACCAATGGACATAAAACTCTGGGGAGGGAAGGGATGTGAGGGAGGGAGAGAAGGGGGGGGAAAAAATCAAAAAATATATATATATATTAAAAAAAAAAAAAAAAAAAGAATCAT